TCAAATCAGTTATATCCAACAAAATAAGTCAGACACCAAAACTCACAAAAAAAATTCTATGAGCCATATCTGATACCAGTTTTGAAGCAAACTCCTCAGGGTCTATGATGCTTCAAACATATATATACTATAATCCCATGAAAACTTCCAAACAGCTAAAACCAGGAGAATGCCAGAATGGAATACCAGTAATAAGAATGACATACAGAAGAGAATATAAGACATTTGTGACACTGAAGCAATACACAGCATCCTTACATTATCTCAAATACTGTTTAGTGAGAAAGAGGTTGGACTATCTGGATGAAAAATTAACATATAGTATGTTGAAAGTACAGGTTCATTCCATGGCTATTAGTTAACAAATGGCCTTAAAAGCTTGTTCCAATTATAAACAGAGCTAGTGTGTGTTTTACAATATTGCTTGTAACTATGAGTCAGTCATGGATTTCAGCTATATCCATTCACCACATCTGCAAAGCAGGGTGCTTTCTGTCATTAATCAGAGAGTAACCAAAGAGTTAATATAGGATTGAAAAGGTAATATTTTTGTGCAATTCAAAAACAGATTGTGGACAAATTTTCATAGTAAGTCACATTTCATGTGACTTTTTTTTATCTTCGTTGGAAAGATTCAGCCGAAACCTAATTTAGATTATCATTTGTTCCAATCTGCAATTTATCGATATATTTTTTATTCAATGAAAAATAAGACACATGCACACTGTATTTCATATGTCCTTTTTAACATTGGTTGATACCATGTGAAATGATGTGCATTATTCCCTTCGACATTAATTAAGCTGAGGTAATATGAACTTCAGTATGACAACTAGAAAGTCAGGCACTCACATTATCCTGTTAAATAAAATAAACATAGGCCATATATAGTACTGTTGAACAGAACTATCCCTTCCTAGTAATTGTTTGCTGTGGACAAGGGACATTGTCTTTATGACAACAGAGCTATGTACTTTAAACTGGCTAAAGAAGCTATGAGATCTGGAAAGGTATCTAATAACTTTTCCTTTTTTTTCACATTCACTAGATTGTCATTGAATATACATTGAAATGCTGGGAGACAGGGGGATCAATAGTTATTGCAGTATGGGCAACAAGGAGGGGTTAATAAAGCAGGAACCAAAAATAATGACTTTTTAAAATAATTTGCAAGCAATACATTTAGAATTAGTTCACAAAATGAACAACTGAGCAGATTTCAGCATTCCTGACTCAGCAGAAATAAAATTTTAAAAAGTTTAATCAGGAAGATTCTTCAGAAAATAAAAATATACAGACCATTTCCAGACCTTCACACCCTAATGTAAATAAAATTCTCATGGGCTCCTATAGGCATTGTACCATGTGGGATGACTGCAGAAAGGTCAAAATAGTACCTATCAGACGATGTCATTTTAAATAAAAAATATAAATCAAATATAGAACAGTTCCTCAGGTTTGCAGTTGATCATACTGCATACAAAATCTGCATATGCTGACTGATGCCCTGACTCCAGAAAACTTCCTTAAAGTCAGTGGGACTAATGCCAGATCTACACTACAGACCTATAGCAGTATAACTACGTCACTCAGAGGTGTGGAATACTCACTCCCCGCCAAACATAGACAGCACTATGTCAGCGGGAGAGCTTCTCCCTCCGACATAATCTACCTCTGCTAAAGCGGGTAGCTAACTACACCGACAGGAGAAGCTCTCCCACCAGTGTAGGAGCATCTTACTAAAGCTGCACCTGTGCCACTCTAGTACTGTACGTGAAGATAAGCCCTTAGGCGCACACTGAAATACTTTCCTAAAAAGGGGTGGACGCAAGCATGTGCTTGAGTGCTTTCCTGTGTTGGGACTCTAGTGACTTGATCCTGCAAGCCGCTGTGCACTCTCAACTCCCCTCGATTTCAGTGAGCGTTAAAGATACTCAACACTTCTGAGACTCAAGCCTGCAATGTGTCTCACTCTATTGGAAATGCTCATTTGATTACCCAGAGCCTGACAGCCAATCAGTGTTGTGGGTTTTAATTACACATTTAGTAGATCAGTGGACAAGCTAATAAGGAGATTTGCATTGATATTTACATATGAATATCTTATTTTTCCAGTGCAGTTGTTTTCCCCATTTCCAGACAGTGTGTTTAAGAAAATTAAAAATGTTTGGCTAAGCTAGCTTTATCAAGGGAAATATGTATTGGCACTATTCAAACCAAGTAAAAAATATACATGGTAAGTGTATGGATAAAAAAAATGACAGCTACATAATATACAATAGTCAAGATTAGACCAAATGGAGGAAACATATGATGTGGTGCTTTTAGAAATGACAGAGATACAAATAACTGAGATACTGAGAATGCTTTTAGCTATGAACGCAAATAAGAACATGTCATACAGCTTACATTTGATTGAACAAGCTCTTACACTGAAGGAACAGTAACAGTATTTGAAGAATTACACTTAAATATAATTTGTACAAGGTCCCAAAATCCAGATAATGCTTTATTTTGCAGAGGCCATTGGCTATTGCATGTACATGGTGATTAGTTGTTTTGTAATTACTGATGAAGCACTTGGCTTTTCTATATAAACTTCAAATACAAGTACCAGGTCTTTGAATTATTATGCAGTTACTCTATGGTGTGATACCATAATTACATGAAGGTAACACATTTAGTGTCATGTGAATGAATCTTTTTAAGCAAGAATCTGCGAGCGACATAAAACATGCAGTTCCATGCATAGTACCATGGAGCATACATAACCATATGAATACAGTGTAGTTACAGATGAGACACCAAGTATAGCCATTTATTTTGCCTCAGAAAGAAATACTGAAATGCTGATTTTTTAAACTTTCTCAAATAGGTGCTAATCCTGCAGACATTAGGCACATGCTTAACATTACACGTGGGCGTAATCTTACAACCTCCATGCCTAAGCACATGCCTAAGTGTTTTTGCAAGATTGGGATAATAATTTGTTAAGCTGCACTTTAATTTTTTTTTTTTTTGGTAATACCCCTTTAACTTATTTTACCACTTTTTAAAAGAGGCTTGTCAGAACAGCACGTTTATAAAGATGTTTGTCATAACAGTTTTTTTAATCCAGTATATATTGTCCCCTTTAGTCGCAAAATATAAGCCTGATACTCTTTACTTATTGATATGATTCAAGGCAGTGAGCGTTTTTCATTGACCTTTAGATCAGGCTTTCTATTTTGTGGGACAATATATTATATACAGATCATATATTCCATGCTTGACTCTTCTCCCACTTTTACATCAGTGTAATTCCACTGTGTTCAGGAGTTACTTTCAGTTTAATGAGAGGAGAATCAGGCCATTTCCTTATAATATACAGTGCTGTTAGCTTTTGACTTACACTTCTTTAAATAAATTTGACTGACTGCATTTAGTACCTCAACTGTATGCCTATTTACATAAAGGTTTCAAATGTCTGATTAACATAAGAAGTTCTAGTTTTTTATATGGTCCCCCCACTGAGGAATAACTGTGCTCAATGTTTCACAATGGGCTGTTTTTTGTTGTTTTTTTTTTATATGTCAGCATTCAACTTCATTAATTAATGTTGTTAGCTAATTGACTGGATTATTATTGTGGAACTGTGTTTGCCAGAGGTAACTATTCTTCTCCAGCATGCCAAATGTTTGAAACATCCTCTCTCATTTAAAGTTAATAAGCAGTAAGGCAACAAGTGACAAATTTGTTTCTGGTAGTATTCATTTCCCCATAAAAAAATTCCATTGGATTTTGAAATATTCTGTTGCTTTTTCCTCTTCTGTCATTTGTAATATTGCTGCAATTTAATGTAATCCTAGCAAACAGTAACAGCAAGGTAACTTGATTAAAAGAAAAAAAAATAAACAATGCATCCAGCAAGGTTGCCAATGGATTTGTATCTCTTGACTTTGATAGCAGCACAAATCAGGTGTGTGGACAAAATTATTTTTAGAGGTAGGGTGTGGCCTCAGTTACAACAGTGAAGTTACTGTAGGTTTATGTTGGTGCAAACAAGATCAGAATTTGGCCCTTAGGCTTAGAGAAAATAGACAGCTGATCCATAGCAGTACCAGAAAACTCAACACTGCTGTCAACGATCTTCCTTCTTTGAAGGGATCTCACCTGCCCTGGAGCCCAGAGCTGAGCACTGAATTTGTGATGGTGTTAAAGAGAGAGATTTGTGGTTCAAGAGAAGAAGACATACTTCCCTAGACTAAAGGTTGTGGAAGATAAAGGGGTCAACTCAAACCACCAACATTTACTACCGTCTTTGGTCAGGGTCAGGCATTTGGGTGCTGGAGTGCATCGGGATCTTCCATTCTCACATCCACCTCCCCATGGGAGTGGAAGAAAAGAGGTGAAATGAAAAGGACAGCTTAAAGTCAGTACTGACCAAGTCTTGGAGTATTTTGCTCCCCACCTCAGGGTTGTTTTGGAATATGTGAAAGGTGCACTGTAAATTCTCATCACTACAATGGCAAGTACCTACATAATTAACATAGTACTCCTAAACATAGAGGGAAGTCTATCTTGGAAATAAGTGAAGTGCATTATGTAGCACTTTTAAAATGTTCAGCAGAACTCAAAGTATTGAGTGATACAGCTACACCTATTTTAATCATTTAAAACAGATTTCATCCTGATGGCATATTGATTTATCCTTGCTATACAAATCTTTCATTATGTTCATTCAACTATCCAAAACCTCCTTACTAAAATGGAATCTCCATTATGATCAGTTATCTTTTTACTCTACATCTTTTCTGTTTATTTTTTCCCCTCACATAATCAAACAGAGGTCTGCTCTTAAAGCGACCAAACAAATGAAAAGTGGACCTGTGGTAATTATTCTCTCTCCTCCACATGTCACTAATAGACAGTCTTCCTTTACTTTTAAACACTAGAATTGCTTCCTTTATTGCTATTGTTTGAATTATGGCCAGCGTATGTGTGTTGTCTTGTTTCTGCAGACTGTAATTGTAACCCTTTTGGCTCTGTCCGTGACCGCTGTAATGACACAGGATTCTGTGAGTGTAAGGAGGGAACATCAGGGCGTAAATGTGATAAGTGTCTGCTGGGATATATCTGGCACAGCCTAGGCTGTCAACGTAAGTAACTGAGAGCTGCCCTTTTCCTGCACCTTTGCTGCCTGTGCTTCTGTATCCCAGCATGTGCAGTTACTTAGAGTTGAAAAAGAGCAAAACTTTTACAAGCTTTAAAAATGCCTCACTCCCTGAACCTTTATGGATACTCCCAAATGAGGGCAGTAAATTGACTGTGCAGTCCATTTATTTCATTATGCTTTTAGTGCCCTCTCCCCTTTTCTCTGCTAATGCCTGGAGGAGCTTGTACTGAAATATGCAGATCTGTGTGTCTTGCCCGCTATCAATTAATTTGTGTGAGCTAAACCACAAGTGCAACTTTCCAAACTTAAAAATTCTGACTGAAAGACAAAAGGTGATATCTAAGTGTATTAACATATTTCTATGACTGAACTTCAGCCTTTTTGAGTAACTTAAAAATGTGAGTTCATAAATTAAATTACATCCATATAGTATATATATAGAACAGCGTACTAACTCATTACTTAGTAAACGAAAAATACAGTCTAAACCAGAGTTAATAACTCTAAAGATTTTAATTTCATTTAAAATGGGACAAAAACAGCATTTAATATTAACTTTTAGTAGCAGATGATGATCAATATTTAGCTGTACACCAAGTTTCTTTTCTAGATAACACAAGAAAATGCCACACCATTACATATTGGGCTAGCGTGCTGCTGCTGGATTCTTTGTATCAGATCCTTAATATTCTAATCTCTATAACTACTACTTTTGAGGATTTAATTCTACAAACCCTTGAACATCCTTTTATTTGTTTCTTTCACCTTCTCTCCCTGATTCTCAGCACTTGTGTCGTAATCACACACACATACAAGAGACAGTTTCTGCAAGAAACACTTGCTCCTGGTTAGTAAGATCTGAAACTCGTGAAAGATGAAAAGAAGAAGAATTACTGGCATAGTGTTTTAGCTACAGATTCTAAAATACTCTAAAACCAAATACAAATGATATATCCTAAGATTACTTCACTGCCTCCTAAAATACAACTAGCGGGGGAGGGGAGCGCTGAGGAGAGGGAGAGAGACCTTGGCCTTCAAATAAGCAGACAACAGTTCCAAAGCAAGGAACTTGAAAAACTATCAGGAATTGCAGGTAGGAAAACTATAATTCCTGAAATAGAACGTTTCAGCTACTGAAGGTTTGCCACAGGCAGTCTCTAGAGATGAATGACCTATTCACAGTAAACATTTTATTCAATGAATTTGGCCTGTTTCTACATCTGTGAATTATACACACACAGATTTGATTTTAACATGTTTATTATTCAATAACTGGTTTATGCAAACATATTTGACAGAAACTTTCAAAGTTTTGAAATTTGGTTTCTTTCCTCACTGGCACTAAAACAAAATTTTTCAAATGCTTTTAAGGAAATCAGAATTGTGTTGAATTGTCCATTTTGAGACTGAAACCTGAGGTTTTTGATTTGGGAAGCAGTGTGTGTCCCCATGCCCTAGTTCAAGTCCCTGCTCTGCCTGATTCAGAGTGGTCCGTGAGGGAAAAATAGCCTGCAGAGAATCAATCAGAGTAGGGACTTGAACCTGCGTCTCCTGCATCCGCACCCAGTTCCCTAACTATCAGGCTATGAACTATGTAAGAGCTCAATTGCCTCATCCCTCTAGTGCTGGTTCACATAGATTATGACAACCTCCTACTGCTTTCAATTACTCCTTTAGCTCAAGTGCCAGAGGTCTGTGCAGTGAATCGAAAGGTACAAACCTGCTTGATGAATCATCTGAGTGTCAATATTGTGCCACATGATGGAATTTCTATTTTCTCAGTTTGCTTTTTTTGAAAACCTAGGAAATTAGGCCCAATAAACTACATTAAAGGAAAACTGAGGCTGCACAGTCAAGCACTCAAAAACTTAATTTGCCCCCCTTCTGCATACACATTATCATACAGACTTTAATTATGTGATCACATACTATTTTTCCACAGGATCCCTGCCTTACTCAGTGCACAGGATGGACTTGCTCCAGAAATGATACAGGAGGGAAGGAAAGGAGGCTGTTCAACCCATGCTTAATTTGTTGCAGACATTAGAAGGTGTATAGTGAATGAGCCAGGGGGGAATACAATAAGAGAAAGAATGATCTCATGATTAAAGCAGTTGACAGCTGCCCTGGTGAAATGAATTATCTCCCTGCCTCTGCTGGAATGCTTATGTGATTTTAGTCAAGTCATTCATATCAAACTTTTCTCAGATGGTCCGTAATTGTGTATACCTTATTTCCTGAGTGCTTGTCCTGAGACCCTGGGGCCTGATTTGCAGAAGTGTGAGCACTCACAGCTACAGCTGAAGTCACTGGGGAGTTGTGCTTTGAACACATAAAGAGCTATATAATGAAAAAGAAGGTTCTAGGCATCTCAAATTGGGCACCCAAAATTAGCGGATATTTCTGACCTTAGTCTTTCTGTGGCTCTGTTTCACATCTGTAAAACAGGGATAATACAATTCCGTTATCTCACAGGGCTGCCATGAAAATAAATTCAATAATATTTGTGAAGCTTTGAAGAGAGACTTCAAAAGACTGGGACTGTTCGGCGTGGAAGAGAGGATAGGACAGAGGTCTATAAAATCATGAATGGTGTGGAGAAAGTAAATAGGGAAGTGTTATTTACTGCTTTAAATAACACAAGAAATCAGGGGTCACCCAATGAAATTGGTCATAATAAACAAAAGGAAGTACTTCTTCACACAAGTCAACCTGTGGAACTCATTTGTAGGGGATGCTGTGAAGGCCAAAACTATTACTGGGTTCAAAAAAAGAATTAGATAAGGTCATTGTGGACAGGCACATCAATGGCTATTTGCTAAGATGGTCAGGGATGCAACCCCATGCTCTGAGCCTCTGACTGCCGGATGCTGGGAGTGGGTGGATCACTTGATAATTGCCCCATTCTGTTCATTCCCTTTGAAGCACCTGGCATTGGCCACTATTGGAAGACAGGATACTGGGCTAGATGGACCATTGGTTTCACCCAGTAAGGCCTTTATTATGTTCTGTGTTCAGAACAGGATTGGAATAGTTAATGCAGCAAATAAAGCATGAGGCCAAATGCTGAACAACAAGGAGAAAACAAAACTATTGAATTGATGTTCTACACTAAAAGAAAAGGAATACTTGTAGCACCTTAGAGACTAACAAATTTATTTGAGCATAAGCTTTCGTGAGCTACAGCTCACTTCATCATGCATCTGATGAAGTGAGCTGTAGCTCACGAAAGCTTATGCGCAAATAAATTTGTTAGTCTCTAAGGTGCCACAAGTACTCCTTTTCTTTTTGCGGATACAGACTAACACAGCTGCCTCTCTGAAACCTGTTCTACACAAAAAACTTACATTGGCATAGCTGTCTCTCTCAGGGATGTGAAAAATCCACACCTCTGAGAGACGTAGGTATTCTGACCTAACCCTCGATATAGACAGTACTACTGCCTCTTGGGCAGCTGGATTAACTACAGCGACGGCAGAACCCCTCCCTTCGGTAAAGGCAGTGTCTACAGTGAAGTGCTATAGCAATGCAACTGCTGCTGCAGCATTTCAAGTGTAGACAAGCCCTAAATAAGCACTGCCCGTCCTGTGGAAAAAAACATTATGTGATCATGTAATTAAAGATGTATCATAATGCACATGCCCAAGAGGCAGCATTAGGATTAAACAGGCAACCTTAATTCTGGCATTTCCTACCCTCTGAGTGCCTGAGTTTGCAACCTCAATTTTCTTTTAACATAGTGTTGGCATTTCCGCCAATACCTTAACCTCCAGCAACTCAGCTCGACTCTGAACTAGTCATTTAGGTTTCTTTACTGTCATATAGTAAAACTACACTGAGTTGATCAGACTCTACTAGCACAGGGGTTGCCACAAATCCAAAGTACATAATCATTAATCTAATTATATACACATTCCCAAAAGAGAATGCCGTATGCCCATTTTACTTTACATCATGTCATGCACTCTGTGATTGGTTCATTAATTTCTGGGCACCATACTCCATACAAATCATGAACTGATCACGTGCCACACATCTGCCATCCGTTACACATTAATCACTACTCTACTGTTCCCTTATCTACTAGTTACACATTTATATGTACTGTGAACACTGCTGTCAATTCATGCTTTGTTCACTGTCTCATGGCCTTGGTCAGAATAGACTTCTTCATAGTGTTTTTTGTGTGTAATATGTAGTTAAACTACATTTTGTTGAATCAAAGTTCTTGCAAATATTTTGCAGGATATCTAGTTAAAACACTAGAAGACTGATATATTCAGAAAGTTAAAACACAGCAAGGGATATTTAATAAGTTTCTTTACTTGACACAAAGGAAACAAATAGCACTGCTCATCTATTCAAAAATCAGAAGAAACTTGTTTCTGAATGCAGTTGTCAGGGTTATAGGCTGGATTAAAATCCGCTGTCTGATATTTCAATGTGCAGCAGAGGAGTCCATGATCTAGTTGCTTTTGCAATTGGCCCATTTTTTTCCAATTAATTTCTGTCTGGAAGATTTTGTTTACCATTTTCTTCTAGAAAATTACATGAAAACCAAAATCGCTGCACTGCATTATCAAGAGTCTGGAGGGATTATTTGCCTGAGCACACCAAGGGTGGTGTTTATCTAATTCCCTGTAACAGCTTTCTCCGAGCCATGATGCTACAGAAATATATATTGGGACTTTTTCCTTTTTTAAAAAAATATGGCTTATTTACAAAATTAGGCATATTTATGTTTAGGGAGCTTTCCCAGTGTGTAGTATTGACCCACTGGAACCAGAAATTTGACCTGCTATCACACAAATCCATATTTTATGTCATGTCAGTTCATAGTGTAGATTTAAATTACGCAGATAGATTTTAAGTATTAAAAAACATTATTATACATTCCAAGTGGATAATGTTCCAGAGTTGTTAATCCACTACATTAAAATATTATATGCAAAGACCTATTCTGTTTTATGGACCAAGGTGCTG